AAAAAAAATGTGGCTTTTCATAGTTTCTTATACTTCTCATATTAAATTCTAACTTCAAACAATCAGGTGAAAAATGAGCTAGAAGGCAACTTCCTCACAGCAGGCTGGCTATCTTTTACAGAACAAGGAAAACTCTTACCCACCTTCATTTTCTCTTAGTTCAAGTACTACGTGAGAACCTTCCTTCCATTTTATTTTTCTCCTTAAGTTTTATACAACATGAAGCAATAATTTACAATCTGCACTTGGGACTGTGGCTTGGTTGAAACTTTTGAAATAGAGCATGTAAAAATTTATTTTTGAATGTTAAGTTTATTCAAAACAAACTTACAAAATTCACTAAGCATATAAAAGGATTACTTCTCTCCAAAACCTGAAACAACTACCTATCTTTCAGAGAAAAATACTGATTTTAAGTCCTCATGGGTCTGTTCTTTCATGCACTGCTGGACTGCACCACTTCAGTTATTCATTACCTGTACTGACACCACAAATGTAATCAAAGAGCTGATGAACTGGCTTCTGGGTAAGTTCAACTAGTTTTCGCAGTGTCTGAATAGTAACCACGCCTCTGCAGAAAAGATTAAAGGCAAAATAAGAATTTCTGCGTCAAGGATATTTACATTACTTAATAAAAAAGTCTACACATTGTGTTTTAGTTTTAAAGCTGAGATTAAAAAAATAATACCTACTAACAGCAACAACTACTTTGTTAAACACAATTTTAGAATTTTTTTTCTTTTTCTTTTTTGGTAATAATTCTGTCCTAAAAATGTTGTCAGGGACCTTTCCGGAATACTGAGAAGCAACAATGTCAGTGGATTGAGGCCATGGTCTTCATAATTACTTGCTATACATCAGAGAGTTGGATAATGACTAAAGATGATAGAAGAATTGATGCCTTTGAGTTGTAGTGCTGGAGAAGAGTCTTGAACATACCATGGACCGCAAAAAACCCCAAATAGATCTGTCTTGGGGAGGGTGAAACCAAGTCTTTCCTCGGAGGCTTTGGCTTTTAAAGCTCTGTCTCATATACTCTGGGCATGTGGCCAGGAGGGAATGATCCTTGGGAAGGCCATCATGCTCAGATGGGTGGAGGGACAGTGCAGGAGTGAAAGACTCCAGAGGAGATGGATTGATACAGTAACTGGGGCAATGAGGGTTGGTGTGTTGGAGTCAATGAGTTGGATCAGGACAGTGCAGGGTTCAGAGCTATTGTACATAGGGTCGCTATGAGTCTCAGGTGATTGGACAGCACATAACAACAACAACAACGAAAACCTGTGCTATGACAGCATGTTTTTGTGTTTTTATTAAGTTCTCTTTAAATAAGGACTGACTTAAAGGCCCATGGGTTTGAACTGCCAACCTTTTAGTCAGCAGCTGTACCACCAAGGCTTCTCTTGCCTTTTAAAAAAATATAAATATTTTATCTCACAACTTTCAACACAAACCTCCCCTTGTGACTATTTTCACATAATCCCCAAGGTCAAGGTTTCTTAGCAGTGGCGTTTCTTTTCTTTTTTCAACCCACACTGCCAAGTGGCAGATGGTGGAATAAGTTTATTCATATGTACAGAAAAGTTAGTGTGTACATCAGCCCAGTTTGGTGATGAGTTCTTTGGCCTTGGCCTTCTCCAGCTTGGCGATGCGGGCCACTGACTTGGGCCCCAGGACGTTGCCTCCCCAGTGGTGGCAGATCTCATCATATCTGTTATTGTAATTGGTTCTGATGGCTTCTACCAGCTTTGTCAGAGTGCCTTTATCTTCCGAGTTCACCTGCGTGAAGGCAACAGTGGTGCAGGTCTGGTCTTGCCCTTGATGATGCAGTAGGGAACGCCCATCTTCCGACACAAAGCCGGCAGGAAGACCACCAGCTCTATGGGTTCCATGCTGTGTGTGATCACCACCAGCTGGGCCTTCTTGTTCTCCACCAGGGTGGTGATCATATTCACCCCGGCATGGAGAACAGGGGGTCTCTTGATGGGGGTATCTCCTTTGCCAGCAGCCTTCTTCTCAGCCCGGGCCAGCAGCCTCTGCTTCTTCTCCTTCTTGGTCTCTGGTCGGTACTTGCGGGCCAGCTTCAGCAGCTGAGTAACTGTCTGGCGGTCCAAGGCCTGGGTGAAATGGTTAATGACGGGTGGCACCTTGAGTCATTTGTAGAGGATTACCCTCTGCTGCTGCAGCCGGATGTAGCGGGGCCATTTGTAAAAGCGGGTAGGATCCCTTTTGGGTTGGATGTCCTGCCTGATGCCAAAGTTTGGGTCTTTTCTCGAACAGGGGATTCACCACCTTCTAGGCTTCCTGCTTCTTGACCATGGCGGGCACTGGGACCACCTTCTTCCTCTTGGCCTTCTATCCCTTCGGCATCTTGGGCGGATGGGAGAGAGAGCAGTGGCATTTCTAATATTTTCTGTTGACTATTTCTTGTTCTTGGGAGCTGTGGAAGCACTGCAGGATGCTTAGCAGTAATCGTCCTCCTCTGAGGGAGCCCTGGTGGTGTAACGGCCTGGTCCGCTGCCAACCCAAAGGCATGTGGTTCAAAACCACTAGATCTCCGCCTGTACAATTTACAGCCTGTGAAAACCCACTGGAGGGTCAGCTATGAGTTGGTTCTGACTCGACAGCACATAATATTACAAGTCTTCCTCTGACTAACAGGCCTTTGGAAACGAAATGGCAGCTACACTGTGGTAACAACAAAAAAGTTTTCAGAAACTGCCAAGTGACCCCTGGTGGAAAAACTGCCTCCAGCCGAGAATCGCTGACCCAAATAAATCTTTCACTCTAGCCTGTTTCTAGCCTTTACCAAGTTTCTTCACTCCGGATGCCTCTCTGTACGAGGAACAAAACTCCTATTCTTTAAGATCAAATACCTATGGTAGCAAGCTTTTTCACTTTACAGCCCCACTCTAAACAGAACATTTGATGCCCTCTTAAGTTTTTGCTTCTTTCAGATCAAAGGGTTTACATGTTGAGACCATGACCTTATTTTATGATATATAAGAAAGCATTTATTGCTTGTGTAGCATCACAACTGGCATCAGCGAGTAAATAAAGGGAGTTGGAAGTTAGCTGAGACTCTGCAAAGGATCACCCCCTTATTATGTGATAAGTAAACTGGTCTATGTGGGAAAGAGAAAACACCCAAAAAGAAATATAAATTATGAAACACTGCCAAGATTTAAGAAAATTTTGGTTGATTATACAGTTCTAAATTACAAAAAAAAAAGCTAACCTCCCCAACATGTAATACTAGATTTGTCATCATTGTTATGTGCCATCAAGTCGTCTGCAACTCATAGTGACCCTGTGTATAACAGCTCTGAGACCTGCCCTGTTCTGAGCCAGTCCCATGGACTCTGACACACCTATCCCCATTTCCCCAGTTATTGTTGCAATCCATGTCATCTGGGGTCTTCCTCTCCTGCGCTGTTTCTCTACCATTCCAAGCCTGATGTCCTTCTCCAAGGACTGGTCCCTCCTGGCCACTTGCCTCATGGGGATAGAACTGTCACTTCTACCTGCTCTGGGTGACCTTCCAGGTTTGTTGCGTCTGACTCACTGCTCTGCCTTGCCAATACTAGATTACACTAAAATTTAAACTAATTTATAACTATAGTAAGGCAGGTCTTAGTTGACAAGGTAATAAAACGGAAGAAAAAAAAAACCCAAACAAACCCAGTTTTATGTTTTGTCTTTAAAATGGCATAGTTACAGACATGTAATAGAAAAACACTTTAAACTGACAACAAACCCAATTTTATGTTTTGTCTTTAAAATGGCACAGTTACAGACATGTAATAAAAAACACTTTAAACTGACAAGAATCTATTAAAAGTTCTTTTTCTACCCTTACCTGGTTCCTCCACCATCAATTGTGAGAATTCTAATTCCTCTCCCCTTCACTGGATCCACGTAGCCCATTAAGGCCAAGATTTCTCTCACTGCAGCCTGAAGAGTTTCATCTTTAGTTTGTCGAATTCGTAACAAACATGGAATAAGTTTTTCCTATATTGAGAGAGAAGTCATTTTCTAATTTTCAAATCAAAAGTGAAAACATAAAATAATTTGTGACGAATATACACAGATCACATATAAGGTGCTGAGGTTACTTAATGGGGGCAGGTGTGTCAGAGACAGTAAGATTAGCACAGTATAGAACAGGACTTACGGCTGCTGTAAGTAGGGTCACCGTGAGCCATAGGCAACTCAATGGCATAAATAACATTAACAACTAAAGAAAGATCAGTTTCTAAAATATAATATCTAACCAAAACCTGAAACCCACTGTCTTTGAGTCATTTCCACCTCACAGCAAGTCTTGACTGAGTTTCTACGGCTCTGAATCTATAAGGGAGCCTCACCCTCTGAGCAGCTGGCAGATTTGATCTGCTGACCTTTTAGTCAGCAGTCTGACAAATCTTGCACTACTGTACCAGTACTCCGTGTAATATCTAGGACAATTAAAATTAGCCTCGCGGCACAAGCATTTTTTTAAGAAGGTGGAATGCTTACCAAGTAGAGAAAATAGAATTTGCTTGACAATAGAAACTTAAGTTGATACCAGAGATTTCACACAGTATTTTACCTATGCGCAAAATTTAAGAGGTAAAGCATATGAATGGACTCGTGCATTCACCTGTTACACAAAATACAGGACATGCAAGTTCACACAGAACTGCCTCAAAAGAAAGACCTGCTGACCTACTTTCCAAAACTCAACCACCAAAAACTCTATGGAGCAGAGTTTACACTGAAACCCGCATGAGGTCACCAGGCCACGAGGAGTCAAAGTCAACTTGCAGGCAACTGGCTTAATTACAATGCACTGGCATATTATCAAAAGGTTCAGATAATTTTTTAGCAAGACTATTGTCAAAAGTGGAATAAATATGAACTTTATATATTATTTTCTAAATCAGAAGCTAAAGCTAAGCACTGACAAGATTCCTAATTAATTCTACTATTATTTAGCACTTCTACTATATTTCCTAATTGTCCATTAAATATTAAAAGACACTTTTTAGCACAGCTATGAGGAGGTGCACTGTTAACCCGAAGGCTGTGCGTCTCTGGCCGTTTGATTCCATGAGCCACTCCTTGAGAGAAAGATGGCACTTTCTTCCCATGCTATTTACAACCTCAGAAACCCATTGGAGGTTCAGCCACTAGCTGATTCAAATACAATATTCATATTTTATAAAAGCATTCATATTTGATAAAAGCCTATTTAAATGCATCTAATGGACCAGTCTTTGGAGAAGGACATTATGCTTGGGCAGCGCAAGAGAGGAAGACCCCAGATGAGATGAACTGACACCATCACTGGGGTGAGGGGAGTAGGTGTGTAGAAGTCAGTGAGTAGCTCAGGATAGGGCAGCATTCAGAGCTACTGTACACAGGATTGCTATGAGTCACAGGTGACTCAATGACACATAACAACAGCAACAACAACATTATGTTATATTTGAGAAAATTGAGTTAAAGAAAGGCTCAGTGTTTTACTTAAAATGATTACTAAAACAATTATAAATAAGATGACTAAAGTTTTCAGACTTTCAAATGTTTCGAAAAGCCCATGAAATAAAAACCGCATCGATGAAAACAAAACAACACAACAATCCCAGCTTTGGTTTTACTTACAAATTACATTCTTCATCTTAAAAGCATGATTATATAGTAAAAATATCTATCTTATATTTAAGGAAAAAATGTGACAGCTCTTGGGCAACTGAATTAATATGCTGAAATTTGTCTTGTATTTTATGTTTAATCTCAAAGTTAATAGTATTAACAGCATAATTTATGTATCATAATGTAAGGAATAATATAAATTGTATCACAGAATGGTGAGGCAATTACTATTATATTTATTAGAGAAATGAGGAAAAAAATATAAACAGAACAATGAAAAGCCTTGCTTTTTTCATTTTAAAAGGTTTATTAGTATTTTTCTTGTAAGACAAAACCAGATTTAATAAATCAGAAATTACCTTGACAGCCACTCCTTTTCCTTCAGGATATTCTAGGAGGTGGAAGGTCAGTTCTTCGACCCTACTGATGCAGAGTTTTGGATCAGTTGTTCTTCTCAATGCCTGAACTAGGGCGCGGGTTCTGTTATCAATACTCACTCTTGCAATAATCTACACATACATAAAATGCATTATCAGAATATTAAACTACTCTAGTAATACCAACAAACGGTTAAAACAGTATCAGTAATTGCTTAATGTGTCTTAGATCTCATTAAGAAATTAAACATTACAAACTGGACAACAAATAATGTAACTCAAAGCCACAACGGTGGTGAATGAAAAAAAGGACACAATGAAAAATGACTTACCTTTTCTCTCTGAAGAGATAAATGCTTTTTCTCTTCGGCTGCTTTGTCTTTTTTGTCAGGGGGTTCAGCTTTAACAGCCTCTTTTTCTTCTGACACAGTTTTTGTCTCAGGCTTTAACTTGGGGACCAAGACACCAATGTAACCACCTACTAAAGCTTGGACACCTCCAGTTGGACGAGAGAGAAAGCTAGTAATACTTTGCTTAGTAGAAACGGGGGTGTCTCCAGGAGTCTCCCCAGAACTTGCGGTATCTGTGGAAGATTCTGAGTGTGGTTTGTCATCAGTCATGATGCCAGGATCTGGAGAAAGGACAGGCTCATCACCTTTAAATGTTTTACCTTCAGGCTCGGTTTTATCCTGGAGATTTTTACTTTCTTTTTTCGAAGCCATTTTTTCCTTCCGTAGAAAATATGAATTAATATGGTTTGATAAAAAGGAGACACTCTCTTCAAATTTTGTGGATATGCTGCCTGGGTATTGAAGAAGGCTTTGTTTACTTATATCTTCATCTTTAAGTATAACCTGAGTTTTTTCTTCTGGAAAAGAACTCTCTGACGCTAGTAGGTCACTCGGCTTTTGCAGTGTTTTGATGGCTTCTTCAATGTTTTTCTGTTTCAACAAGTCATTATCTGGTACTTTCCTCAGTATTCCAAAACTTGGCTTAAATTGAGCTAAACGTGAAATCATTTCATTCTGACTTCCAAAAACAGCCTTTGAAACAGAGTGCAGAGTGGTTTTAATACGGGACATATGAATGCTCACTTTTGTAAGTCCCTTGGGAGCAGAAGTGCTAAGTTTCAAAATTCCAATACGTAAACCATGGTTGCTTAGGCAGGGGTAGCACTTACTGCAAGAATGTGCTTCACTTTTGGTCCATTTACATCTTACTTTGCTCGTCTGAAAACCTCTTTGTAGACTGACGTACCTCCAATAGTATTTAGGTGAACATAAGAAATGTAGTTGCTTGCTTCTCTGCTTTCCACAAAGACTTCTTGCATTACTGAGGAGGTAAATATATATATCTAACGTCAAATTAACGGACATAACTAAAAAATCACTTATTCTCTATACATATGACTTTTTCCTCACTCCATTCATTCATTTGTTTCATTTAAGAAATGCCATAATTCATGGTCTTACCTGAAATGGTAAGAAAAAAGAAAAAGATTAGAAAGAGAAGTGAAACTGATGTCAGGTCTAAGACAAAATACATTACTTTTTGAAGTAATATATTTCCAATCTGGCTGATTTTTAAACTAAAAAGGAGGATTTCAACTTTCAGTATAGAATTCTATTAAAAAAATTAAAATAATAAGACATTTCACAAGAACTAATTCAGGAGAGGTTTCCCAATAGATAAACTTGCTACAATGTACCATAACTTAGACATGGTGCTGATTTTGGTTTGGTTTTGGGGTCCCTTACAGCTAAATTCTTAACAAGTGACATTAGACTTTAAATATCCCTTAAACTTAAGCTTCCTGAAGATAGGATTAGGTGCTTTAGGTCATTCAAGCTAATCCTCTGCTTCATCCAGACAAGATGTGTGCAGGGTGCTGAGGATACAAAGAGAGTGCGAATCAATTTTCTGTCCAGAGCAAGACAAAGTCACTCAGAGCTCATTAGACAAAGAAGTCAGACCAGAAGAAACTTTGTGTAGACAAGTGGTTGAAAAATATGCAAACTTAACAGAAAATGAACAAATAACACAAACAAGTCTGCGGAAAAATACAAACAGTGAAATTATGAAAGACTGCTTCTTTACATCAAAGAAAATGAATCATCAAAACAGAAAAAAACCCACAATTTTCTATCAATGGGCAAAAATTTAAATAATATCATTTACTGAAGAGCAATGGTGTCACTCTGGAGACTAAGGTGGGTCTGATACAGGCCATGGTCTTTGCAATCACTTGTTATGCATCAGAGAGTTGGACAATGACTAGGGAAGATGGAAGGAGAATTGATGCCTTTGAGCTGTGGTGCTGGAGAAGAGTATTGAGGGCACTATGGACTGCCAAGAAAACAGATTCATCCTAGAGAGGGTTAAACCAGGCTGCTCCTTGGAGGCAAGGATTCTGGGGCTTAGTCTGACATACTCTGAACATATTGTAAGGAGGGACCTGTCCTTGGAGAGGGACATCATGCTTGGGAGGGTGGAGGGATGGCACAAGTGGGGAAAACTCTCTATGAGGTGGATTGATTCAGTGACTGGGGTAATTGGAATGGGTGTGTCAGAGGCAGTGCGATTGGCACAGGATAGAGCAGGGTTTAGGACTGTTGTACATAGGGTCGCTATGAGTCGCAAGTGACTCGAGAGCACATAACATCAACAACAATAATTTCAATAATATCCAGAATTGATAATGATGTAGGGACATGGGACATAGAGATTTTTAGGGCTGTTAGGGAGCAAATGATTAGTCTTCCAACTATTCCCTATATCCCTGGTGATTTAAACCTACCCAGAAGTGCCTCAGAAGGTGTGGAATTCAGCCTCGTTGAGATCTCAGCGCTGAAAATGCTGTGGAGCAGTGATTTCTACTATTCAACTTTGCACACCTGGGGCCACTGTGCATCCACTCAAGTTACAAATGCATGCCAACTAGGAAGAGCACAAAATAACACAAAAACTCTACATCGTTTAAATCTGTGGAGATTTTTTATAGGCAAAAGATAGAAATACAGAGATAAAATGACTGAGTCTGGAAAGATAAACACCCAAAGATCAACTTATTCTATTGGACTCAGGAGTGAGATTATGTGAGAGTGAAGAGAAGGGCTTTTACTTTTTACTTGATTATTCTCTAAATTGTCTACAAGAAGGTGTTGTGATGAAAGCAAAAAGTTTAAAGCATTTTAACAAATAATACTACGTGAATGAAAGGCACAAAATCAGAGTAGGTATCAAAGAAAGTCTGGAAAACAAGTTTAAAAACTGGGGAAAGTTATAAGGACATTTGTCATATAATACAAATGAGATACTTCAACAAACACATGCACCCCTAGACAGGCTTACCAGGTTATGCCAAGTAATCTAGACGACAGCTAACTGGCCAATTGACTTGAACAGCTCGTATTTATTCCCATTCCCAAAGAGGGTATTCCTACAGAATGTGGAAATTACTATTATCACGCAATACACTAACACCACATGCAAGCAAAATCTTGCTGAAGATTATGACGGGAACAGTACATCAACAGAGAAATGCTTATGAAGCTTCAGGAGAGGGGGTGGCACTAGGGATATCATTGCTGATGTACGATAGATCATGGTTTAAAGTAGAGAATACAGAAGAATGTCTATTTGTGTTTCATCAAAGATACAAAGGCATTTAGCTGTGTGGATCACAACAAACTGTGGATAACGTTGAAATGAATGGGACTCCCAGAACACCTGACTGTCCTCCTATGAAACATATACCTAGACCAAGAAGATAGTGTTCGAACAAAACAAGGGAATATTGCATGATTCAAAATCAAGGAGGGTGTGCATCAAGGATGTATCCATTCTTGATATCTTTTCAATCTAACACGTGGAACAGGTAATTCAGGAGATTGGACTTTATGAAGAAGAATGTGGCATCAAGATAGAAAGATGGTGCAACCACTGTGGAAGGCGGTATGGTGCTTTCTCAAAAAGTTGCAAATAGAGATACCATTTGACCCAGCAATTCCACTACTGGGAATATACCCCAAAGAGACCATAACTGACATCCAAGCAGATATATGCACACCCATGTTTATTGTGGTTTTATTCACAATAGCAAGGAGTTGGAAAAAACTATGTGCCCATCAACAAACGAATGGATAGAGAAGCTGTGGTATATTCACACAATGGAATACTACACTGCATTGAAAAACAAGGAACTCATGCAATATTATTCAACATGGGTGACCCTGGAGGGCATTATGCTGAGTGAAGTATCTCAGTCATGAAAGGACAAATACTGCACGGTGCCACTGTTGTAAAACAGGACTGACATTGGGGTTGGGGCGAGACTGAGAAAGATAGGTTCAATAATGTATACTGCATTGAAAAAGATGAGGGAGAAAACTGTTTAGGAGGGATATGCGATTAGGTATTTTTGTCATGACAGGAGTCCAGAGCAAAGGCTGTATAGTGGAGTGGACCTGGGGGGAGGGATTGTAAACAATGAAAGAATTTTTCTTTTACTTTTCCAAGAGGGTAGTGTCCTAGGGAGGAGGGTTGGGAGAGGAGAAAAGTACAACAATGAATGAATGGAAATAATAAAAAAAAAAAGAAGACTTATCAACAACCTGCATTATACAGATGACACAACTTTGCTCCCCAAAACTGAGGAGGACTTGAAACATTTGCTGTATAAGATTAAAGACTGCAGCCTTCAACATGGATTGCATCTTAACGTCAAGAAAACAAAAATCTTCACCAGCAGTCCAACAGACAGTAGCATCACAGATGGAGAAAGAATTGAGATTGTTAATGACTTCACCTTGCTTGGATCCATAATCAACACTCTTGACAACAGAAGTCAGGAAATCAAAAGACAAGTTTCACTGGGAAAATCTGCTGTTAAGGATCTCTCCAGAGTACTAAAGAATAACAATGTCAGTCTAGAGGCTCAGATGTACCTGATCTAGACCACGGTCTTCTCAACTGCTTACTATATGCATCTGAGAATCGATGCCTTTGAGCTGTGGTTCTGGAGAAGAGTACTGAACATATTGTGGACTGCCAAGGGAACAAATAGGTCTGTCCTGGACAAGGTGAAATCAGTTTGCTCCTTGAAGACAAAGCTATTGAATCTCCTTCTTACATACTTTGGGCATGTCACTAGAGGAACCAGTCCTTGGAGAAGGATATCATGCTTGAAAGGATAGAGGGTCAGCGCAGAAGAGGAAGACCTTGGATGAAATGGATTCACACAATGTCTGTGGCAATGGGGTCAGGTGTGTCAAGAGATCGGCTCTTTGAGGTTGAGGTTGGCTCAGGATAGGGCAGGGTTCATAAGAGTTATTATTCACAGGGTCACTATGAGTCATAGCCAACTTGACAGCACATAACAGTAACAAAGATGAGAAAGGTGAGTGAGAATTCTATATAAAGAGCAAAAATAAATACAAGTAAACAAACAAATATTTTTTTAATACATTTAAGAAAAAGTATTAAAAGCATGTAAGGAAGCACATTCAGTATAAAATTTTAAGCAGTCAAGTTTTACTTCCAGGATCTAGAAAGATTTTTTTCAAGGAAGGGGTAAAAGAAAATACTGAATAAAACAGATTGGGCTCAGATTATGAAAGGTCTTACACATCTTGCCAAGGATATCAAAGATGAACTGAAGTATCTGAAGCTAAGAAATGATACTAAGTCACTGCTATCAAATTGAGTCTGATGCATCATTCTTCTCAATCAGGTTTCAGGGGCTACAGATTTTTGTGAGAGGAGAATGATCATTTTCCTTTCCATCTTCTCTCCCAGATTCAAACTGCCAACCTCTAGGGTAACAGTTTGACAAGATATGCATACACTATGCCACAAGGGTTGCTGGGAGTTGAAATCGACTTAGCTGCAGTGGGCGGCAAGAGGAAAGAAAGGAAG